GAGAGCCCCGCGACGGGGCGGCCACCTCGGGCACCCCTCGGGCACCCCGACGGCCCTGCTGCAGACCCCCGCTTCTCTGCTGCAGACCCTCGCTTCTCCTCCAGAGACACCCCTGATTGCCCATCGCAGAACCTCCGTTTCCCCAACAGAGCGCTGTTGCAGGGACCTCAGCTTCCCTGCTGCACATCCCTCCAGTTCCTCATTGCACTCTCAGTGCAGATCTCCGGTTCCCCAGCAGACCTACCCAATTTTCCCCTTTCAGACCCCCAGTTGCTTGCTGCAGACCCTGGATCCCTGATAGATCTCCATTTCCCAAACAGTGCCAGACTGGGTGTCTGGGGAAAGGGAGACACCCCCCAGTCCAGCCCATTTGAGTGCTGGTGAGGATCAGGAGCAGCCACTGCCGGGGCAGAGAGTAGAGCCCCTGGCAAAGCTCTCCAGGGCTTCTCTGGGACTCTGAACCAAGGTAGCTGCCCCTGTGCAGCAGGAGGATGTCCTTAGCCATGCAAAGAGGCAGCCAGGACTTGGAGAGAGGAAAAATCACCTCCAGTGAGAGAGTGACCCGAATCAGCCTCCCCTGTGAGGTCCCCCGAAGTCCTTGCCCATGTCACTTCAGTGGCATCCTCACTGGGTCTGGCATAGCATGCTGGAGCAGCGGTGTGGGAAGGTGATGTGATGCTCGGATCAGTTTATTCCCCACCACGGCCAGGACAGAGCTCTCTTCCCCACGCCAGGTAGATGTCAGGGCTCTTCTGCTGCGCTTGATTTCTTAGGTGCAGCTGCTGCATAGCAACTGTTGGGCTGAGCAATTTGCGAAGCAAGGGTCCCTTTCTCCTCCAGAGCCCTGCACATCTCTAATCTGGACACAAAGGTGTTCTAGAGGGACAGAGCAGTGAGCCCCCAGAAGCCAAGGAGTAATTGTGGTCTCTCTCTTTCTTCTTTCCCAAGGAACTGGCCAAGTACTTTTTGGCAGAACTGCTCTCAGAGCCAAGCCAGACAGAAAATGAAGCCCTGGAGTCTGAGGACTTGTCCCGAGGGGCTGAGCAGGACGAGGTGAGACTGGAGCTGGAGCGCTCAGCCAACTCAAACCCCGCTCTGGCACCCCGGGAACGCAAAGCAGGCTGCAAGAACTTCTTCTGGAAAACGTTCACATCCTGTTAGCTTTTGAACCCACCTTTCCTCCCCTTCCATCCCTGTCTTCTTCCTAGCCCCCCACCCCAAGCAGAAACTTCACCATGAGAGGCGAAGACTGTAAATACACAATCCACGGTTATGGTGAAATTAAAGAAACAAGGAAAATTTGCGTTTGATTTCCAGTTGTTTTAATAAAACTTTCTGTTCCAATTGTACACAATTTGCTTGAGTTGTGATTTCTGACTAGTTCTTTAATGACATGCACTCTTTCAGATGTACTATTTTTAATTCTTTGTTGCAATAAAGTTTATGTTTCAAACAGTGATGCTGAGATTTGGTGGTCAATGAAAAAACCTAAGTCACATTTTGGGCTGCTTGTCTTCGAAACGCCACCCGTCTCAGGGCAGCAGCAGCAAACAGCATCCACACGCATGCATATGCACATACACACAATATATCTTACAGGGTTTTGGGTTGGGGTTTTTTTTTGCTGTGGTCTTTCTAAGGGACCTGGAGACACAATGGTATTTTAGGTAGTGAATCCCTGTAACTGTAGCTGAGTCAAATCCACAGCGCAGAGGTTTTACACCCATCACCAGAGGCATCACTGTAAATCCCAGCTGTGTGTGTTCCAAGCCGTGGGACTGATAAAAGCGGTTCCCAGTACAACCTTACTTCACACAAACCTCATTCCTTCCTCAGCCGCAAACACTAAAAAGTTTTCTTACCTATTTTATTCCTTGCAACATCCCTGACAAACGCTGCTTCTGGCATCCCTTCGGAAAGTTTTCCTTTGTTCTGCTGTGAAGGGGAAGGTTTCGCATCCCTGTAAAGCTGAGATGTTAACCCTGTGCTATCAACCCCTTTGTATATAATAAACTGGTTACAGCCGTTTCCCTACCCACTACATCGTCATTAAAGGCCATCTTAAAAGAGCCGGTAAGGTAGAAGCAAGCATCTAGGAAAAAAAAAATATTATCTCAATGGAAGAGAAATTCTTTGTGCTTTTGCAGTCTTTTCCCTTTCTTGTGACATGCAATCATGGGTGAATCAGAGCTGTAGAGCATCCTGCACAGGGGACCGGTACCACTGATGAGAAATCAATCATTTAGGATTAAAGGTAATGAACATTTTGTAGACATCGCATGTGAAGGAAAGGCAAAAAATGGGGGAACTTAGAGATGTTGATGCGTGGAGGGCTGAGCACCACCCTCATGGAGGTGGATTCCCCAGCAGAGAGGATGTTTTGTTGCCTCTGGTCCATGCTCTGTGGGACATCGCTCTTGATGGCTCCTGGAGCTTCCTCTCCTCCTCTCTTGTCAGAGTGACAGGTTTTGGAGTGTGCTGGTGAGATGGTCCTGTAGGGGGGACGTTGGGAGAGCCCTGGCACACAGGGAACACCCTGGATTTCAGTGTCGGGTGCAGGATTAACTCACCTCCAGGAGAGGGGCAGGACTGGCACTTTTGCGGGGGAAGCCTACAAAAAGATATTTGCAAAGCGCAAGTCACATAGATAATTTCCCAGCCCTACGAGCAGAGGGGGTGAGAACAGGACCCCATTTCAAAGTGTGGAGGAGAGAGCTCATATCTGATTCCTTTGCATCATCAAGGGAGCAGATTTTAGGGAATTTGGTAAAGCTGAGACCTCCCCAACCCTGGCTGCTCTTGACTGAGGTTCCTCTTAGTTTTCAAAAAGCAGCGAATTCCTCAATGCTGAGACAGCCTCGAGATAGCAGCTACAGGAGCAGAAAGGGGGTGGCAGTGCCAGAGGTTTGAATATCCTTGTGCACCAATCCCATCTTTCATGGGATATAAATAGACCCCTACTTGCCCGAGGCTTTTCCTCTTGGTCACCATGCTCAGCCTGTGCTTCTGAACGGATCTTAATCCTGCTGATTGCTGGAGTGAGACCCAGCACAAAGACGGATGCGTCCCACGAATTAAAGATGAGGTGTTCCACAAGCCTGTTTCAGCATGGAGTCATGTCGCGGCAGCTCCTGCGAAGCTTAATGAAGATATACTGGTGGAGGGGTGTGCAAATGTTCCTCATTCAGAGGCAGAAAGACAAATTTGCTCTTTACATTGGGGAGATGGCTCCCAGGGCAGTGTCACTGTATTTAATTGCACTGTGGCAGCACCAGCAATCCCAGGAGCCATGCAAATGCAATGCAAGAGATTATTTGGCCCTGCAGAGCTAGAAAGACAATGATTTATGGTTTGATAGGTGGGAATTAAGAGGTAACAAGATTAAAGGGCTATATTTAACCCCTGGCCACACAGCCATGAAGCAGTGTCCCAGGTTGGGCAAGGCTGGATCTGGGATGGGCACATTGGCACGGACAGGTCCCACAGGCCAGCGCTGCCCAAGGGAAGAGAAGTTTTTGTGAGAGGTTTCCAAACGATGCTCTCTGCAGCTCACAGCTGCGGATCCATGGAGGAGCAGCCTCAGCACGGCCCTGAGGGAGGTGAGGGGCTGAGATGACCCTTACACAGCTGATTCATCTCCCTGCTCACACTCAGTGTCACGGACAGACCCAGATCAATCCCCACGCAATCAGGTACCTTCAGCCTGGTGATTCATCAGGGGCAGTGCAGGGAAATGTCCATGAGGAACCACATAAAAGGGCTTGAAATGGCTGTCTGAAGAGTTGCTTTGAATGAAAACCAGAAAACATTGTACAAGGCCTGGAAACACACATGAGAAGTCAGTGATGAGCTTCTCAGCCATCCCCAGCAGCAAACTCTCCGACTAACAATGCCGAGGGGGGACATTCACTCTAGCAAACAGACCATGATTTTTTATTTATTTATCTATTTTACCGAATTGGTAAAAAAGGCAAAGTGTTCCTTGGCCCAGAAGGCTTGTTGGTGACAGATAGCTTGAAGTCATCCTGGCTGTGGTGCAGAGGAAACACTTGTGGGGGTCCAGATTTCATAGCCTGGGTCCGCTTGGGCCCCAGTTGACTCCTTTTGGCTCTGTGGAAAAGACCAAGAGCCTGGACCCATCACCAGGAGCATCCCAGATTCCCGCATCTCTGCTCTCACCACAGGAATCTTCCTCCCTTTCATCGTCTCAGCTCCTCTGGGGAGCATCGGAGCAAGACCCAGCCCATGTACAGGTCAGCACCGGGTGTCTGTCAAGAAGCGCTCGCTGCTGAAATAGAGTCCTAATTTTCTGAAAGCAAAGCAGCAGGATGTTTATTGACCAGGGTGAGAAAAGCTATACCTAGGCAATAAAAGTTATTATGATAAAGGAACAGACTGTACTCTCTGCTCTCTGAACACCTTCTGACTCTCCGACAGCTTCTCACCAGAATAATGCAATAAAACTCACCTACACTGAGCATTTTCTTCCCCTTTGCCTTTGTTTTATTAGGGGATTATTTGTTACTTTTTGTCAACACCTAATTGCACTTCTGAGAATAGCTGCTTGGCCAGCTGCTGTGAGTGCCTCAGAAGACTTTTTGGATCCCAGTCTTAGGAGATTTACCCCATAAACAACTTGTAGAACACAAAAAAAATTAACAAAGTCACAAAAACATCACCAAGTTCACTTTTTCTCACATATATACAGTGTAAATGCCAGTTTGTGCCATGAGCTAGTATTTCCAGCATCATCTGACAAAGAAACTCACCTGGTCATTCAATTAACAAAATGAATGTAATGAAGGTCTCCAGCATTTCCTATGGAGAGATTCTTTGAAAAAGCATAAAATTATGCATTGAAATTCACACATTTTGCCCAGCAATAATCCTGGTGCTGCCATGCCCTGAGGTAGAGCATTTGCTCCCTGACACAGCTTGGTGCTCTGCCTTCAAGGAAAAAAAATCTCTCCTTCAGCTGGGGACTGGGATTTAAGGAAGGAAAAAGGATCCCCTCTGGAAACTGGCTGTCACATTTGTAAATCTTGACATCCGCCTCTTTTCTTCCCTATTGTACTTCTTCTGCTTGTCTGAGTTTGTGACCCTTCCCAGATGCTCAAACCCAACCTTTCTTTCCCTGTGTCCCAATCTGCTCCCCAAAGGCCGCGATGTGGGGGGACACCGCTGGGCACGATGGGGTACACTGCAGCCAGCAGAGAGAGCCAAAGAGCACAGATTGTCCCATTTTGGGGCTGTATCTGCAAAAGCAGATTATTAGGATGCATGTTCTCTGTGCCAGTGGCTGTCCGAGCTCTGGCTACCACCTCTCTCAGGGAGATGGGCTGAAGGAGGGGTCCTGCAAAGGGGGGCTTTCCATGGAGCAGCACTTTCTGGGGGCCAGAGCCATGTGAGGATGCAGGTAGTGCTGCAGCATGGGCATTTTTCCCCTCCAAGTTCCTGCTTTTAATTTCTAAAGGGCATTTCTCATGTCAGATTTGCCAATTTTTAACAGGTTAGAAGAAAGAGAAATAACATGGAAGTAAGTGAACCGTTCTATTGAGGGTTAAATCCAGTGGGATTTGTCAGAATGGCAACCTGTAAGATATGGCTTCCACGCAAATCTTCTCCCCCAAGCATTTGTTGTTGTTGTTGTTCTGGATCCAAAACAACTCCTTCTTCACTCAGCTCTTCCGGATTTCACAGTCTGAGCAGCAATGGCAAGGGCAGAGGGAGGAAGAGCCATGTCCAGTTAAAGACTCAAGCAACCAGTTGGCCCGTGGTGGTGGCACTTTGGCACAACATGTGGCAGTCACCACGTCCCAAATGTGGGCGATCCACGCTGCAGGAGATCATATCTTCCACCACTCGAATATCCACGCCTTGAATGCAGCATCATCTGTGCTGATATCTTCTGCTCCTACTGCAAGAAGTGGTCCTGAACCTCGGAGCCTCAGCATCCCCAGTAACTGCTTGTGGCAACGGGACACCACCATTGCCCTAATATCACCACCCTCTACGCAGGGCCTGGCAGCAGGGACACCCAGTAATACTCTCTTGCTACTGGTTTAGGGTCCTTGGAAGGAAACCCCACCATCCCTGGAAGGACAGGGCCAACAGGAAAATTAGGCACAGGCAACATGTTTGAACCAAAGCTCTCAGCAGAAGATTGTGAGGAAAAGGCAGCCGCTGTTCTCCCTGAAAGCTGCATCCAGCATTTGGAAAGCAGTGATTGGAAAGAGAGGATTTCCAGCATGGATACCCTTCAGAAGACTGTGGAGGAGATGAAGAAAAGTGAGATACCATGCCAAGCCTTGCTAAGACTGCTGTCGCAAGGACACAAGGAAGTGAAGCACCAGGTGAGGCAGAAGAAACTTCACACCAGCACCTTGCTAGCCCAGAAAGGGGACTTCTCCAGAACATCTGTTCAAATTGTCCTGGAAAGTGTGGTAGAAATGGTAGGAGATGGGCTCTGCGGCAGCTGTGCTCAAGAAGCCCTGACAGCTATAGCAGAGGCATGTTCATTGCCTTGGACTGCAAAGACAGCTTTGTCATTGGCCTTCTCACAGTACAACCATTGCAGGAACCATTGCAAGATCTTGGACTGGCTGTCAAATGCAATTCTAGAGTTTGGCTTTGCAGGGATGGAGGCCAAGGCACTGGTCAATACCCTGAAGTTCGCTCGTGGTGCTGCTCACTCGGGTGTGCAGAAATCAGCCATCACCTTGCTGGGGATGATCTACCTGTACATGGGAGACTCACTGATAGCACTGATCAGGAGTGAAGAGCTGCCCCTTCTTACCCAGATAGATGCTGAGCTAGAGAGGCTGCATGGACAGGTCCCACCAATTCCCAGTCGCGCCAACCCCAAGCCATGTCTGGATGAGAGGGCCCAGGAGGACCCAGGGGAGCAGAGGAGGACTGAAGCCATAGACATTGGTGACAGGATCACACCAGCGTTGGTGTCAAAGCTGCAGGAGAAGAACTGGACCATCCAGAGAGAGGGCCTGGAAGAGCTTACATGCATCCTTCAGGATGCCGGGTTCATCCAACCAAACAGAGGAGAGCTCCCAAGAGCCCTGAAGGCCTGTCTTTGTAACCCAAACCCCACCCTGGTGCGGATGGCCCTGAGGGTCCTCCAGCAACTGTCCACAGCCATGGGTTCAAATGTCAAGCAGCACATGAAGGACTTGGGCTTTCCCCTAATTGCTCTGTTCAGGGAAAGCAAGAGCAGCACAAGAGCTGCTGCCTTGGCTGCCATGAACGCCTGGGATGCACAGATCAATATATCAGAGTGGCTGGATGGGCAGGACATATTGGAAGGTCTGGGTGAGGAAAAGCCTTTGCAGAAGCAAGAGCTGGAGCAATGGCTGGCTGAGCAGCTGCCAACCCTCAAGTCAGCTCCCTCGGACCTGCTTCAGTGTGTGCCTCACCTGTCCCTGCAGGACACCGACAGGGATGTGCAGACAGCCTCGCAGGTGGTCCTGCCTTTCTTCATGATGCACCTCGCCTTGGAGAAGATGACTGAAGCCACCAGCAAGCTGAAGGCAGCTGCAAAGGATCACATATTTGCAATACAAGAGCATGCCAATGACAGTCCATCAGCTCAGTCCACTGCTTCTGCTATGTCACTTTCCAGACACCCCAGGGTCACCACTGTGACTGCTTTTCCCTCTGTTTTCCCCACATCACCCGCAGCAACAGCCTTATCTTCACAAGTGTCAACACCCAAAATCAGCAGAGGGGAGGAGCAGGGCCCCAAGGACCTCGAGTCAGGAGAAGTGGTCCTGAAAGACGCAGGTGCAGCCAAGGGAAAAGCACAAATTAACTCCATTCTGGACGATGGAGTCAGCAATCTGGGGCCTATCTTCTTCGTTGTCCCCAAGGGGAAAGAACAGAGAATGAAGGATGAGAAATGCGGCAAAGTGCTGCAGTGGGACTTTGCTGCTCCCAGTGAGCAGTACGTGGAGCAGTTGAAAGCTCAGATGAGCATCTTCCAGACGGAGATGTTCCACTTCAGCTTCCGGCACCACATCAAAGCCTTGGCCATCATGGCCAGGCACTTGGAGACAGAGAGGGAAGCAGTTATCAGCTGCCTGGACCTGATCCTGAAATGGCCCACTCTGCGTTTCTTTGACACCAACACATTGGTGCTCATCAAGAGCCTAGATTACCTCAACCTGCTGCTAACCCTGCTGATCCAAGGAAAGTTCCAGCTGATGGACAATGAGGCCTTTTCCTTCCTCCCATATCTGGTCCTGAAGATGGGGGATCCAAGGAAAACTATTCTTAAATTGGTGCATGCCACCCTGAGGAGGATGTGCCTGGTGTATCCAGCTAAGAAGGTGTTTGGCTTCCTCATGAAAGGCATTAAGTCCAATAACACTAAGCAGCAGGAAGGCTGCCTGCTGGAGATGGGTTATCTCCTTGAAACCTATGGCCTGGATGTATGTGAGCTGAGCTCTAGCAAAGCCTTGAGGAGGATAGCTTCCTTCCTTGGAGACCAAGACAGTGCTGTTCATCATGCTGCTCTAAGTATTATGGTCACAGCTTGCAAAACTCATGGGGAAGCCCTGTTCAAAATGGTTGGGGATCTTCCTGAAGAACATATGAGAATCCTGGGACAGATTGCAAAACAGGAAGCCAGCAGGTCAAGAGTTTCTTCAGCAAAGGGTTTCAGTGAGAAATCTCAGCGTGATCCAAACACAAGATCTGAAGTCAGCTGTCAGCGTGCAGGAGATGAACCTTCAAAGCTAGAACCCCCCTGCCCTCAAGGAGGAAACTTCAATATGAGGGACATGGCTCACCCGACACTGCCTCCACGTGTAGGTGTGCCATCAAGCAGGCCAGCCTCCAGAAAACATAGTCTCCTTAGACTGAAGGATATCATTCAGTTAGAAACGATCCCTGAGTTCCAGACCCTGAATATCTCCTCAAATGCTGATGAAACGTGTCATTATATTACCTTCACCATTAATTCCCTTATTTGTCACATTACTAGTGGTGATATTTATACCAGCAACCAGGCAATGAAAGAAATAGAGGTGATCCTGAGAGAGAAGAACAATGTAGAAGCTATGTCTGGGCACATTAATGAGTTCCTCATAGCCAGCTTTCAATCACTCGAGTTTATCAACCAGCAAACAGAAGCAGATAAGAAATGGGGGAAGGAACAAATCATTCTGCAATGTAACTGTGTCATCCAGGCCTGTAACTGTCTTCCAGAAGGAAAAACTGGCTCAGGAGGCCTCAGTGGAAGTGCTTAAGGATGTAATGAACAACCTCTTTACCTTAATACTAGACTTCCTGGACAGAGACCTAGAGGAAGATCAGAAGCTCTTGCAGTCCATCACTGTCCTCATTAAGAGAGTGTGAAAAACTAACCAGACAAGGGTTTTCTGTGCCTTGCTGATGCTGCTCCAAGGCAGTCTGACTGCTGAGGACAGCCCAGAGAAGTTTTCTGACCTGCTGGCCAAGAGCCTGTGGAGAACCACACAGCTTCTCCCAAGCACCATTGGCACCGTCAACCTGGATGAAATCCTGCTGCAGGCCCACATGGTCATGAAGGCTGCTTCAAAGGAAAAAACAAGACAGCACACAAACAAACTCCTGCTGCAGATCCTGAAAACTCTGCTGCACAACTTGTACAAGCTGAAAGGAGTGAGGATCCTGGACCACCTCAGCCTATCCAGGATGCAGCTGGCTCTGAGGTGGAAGCTTATCTCCGAAAGACAATCAGTCCCACTGCCAAGCGGGGGGAGAACGAAACAGCTGTGGGAGCAGGGGCAGAGGTCCCCTAGGCAGCTCACAGGGTTGCAAAGGACAAAGCAGGTGAGGTTTGAAGAGCATCTTTTAGAAAATCTGGTCCAAGGAGAGTTTGAGGGAGGGTTTATAGGAGTTATATGAATGTAGGTAAAAATGGCCCAAGAGTAAGTTGAAGTCTTTCCTAGAGAAGCAAAGCCTGGCCATCATTAGGACAGAATAGGAGACCAGAGAGTGTTTTTTTCCTCCTCCTCTGAGCATGTTCCCTGATGTGGAAGCATCTCGCCTTGGATCAACAAGGATCCCGGGGGGACCATAAAGGGGAAGGCAGTGATGCCATCCTGCGACCTGAAAATCCCATTATTCACCAGCAGCATCAACACAGCCTTGAGAGCAAGACAGCCCATGGCAGGGTCCCTGCCAGTCAACTCCCCTCGAAGGATGCTAATGTCACGCTTCTCCCTCCTTTCCAGGGCTGCACAACAGTGATGTCCCCTGGGGGCATGAAGAACCACCAGCAGAAATAGCACCAGGACCTCAGAACCAGCCAACACATCAACGGGACAATGACATGAACCACAAACCAATTTTAAAAAACCCCTGCAGCATGAATACTGGGTGTGTTATCTCTGCACCGAATGCAGCCCACAAGAGCCTGTCCCGGTTTTTGGTTGATGTCTCTGTTGCTGTTGTTCAGAAGAGCACAGGGTGCTCAGGTACTTGGCTGGAGAGCATGAAAAGCGTGTCCATACCTAGGGAGGTGTCTCTCCAGGTTATGGGCTCCTTGGGTGAGCATGAGGAGGCTGATCCCTTCCCCAAACTAGTGCAGGTAAATAGAAAGAAGTGCGGATTCCTGCCCTTTCCAAAGCCAAAGAGGAGATAGGTCTTAAGACCAGGAGATGTGCATCCCAGGTGAAGGGAAGAGTGCTTCCAGAGCTCCAAGTCTTCATGTTTCCATGCCACAGCACAACTTTTTAGTCTTTAAAAAAATTAGGTGGGTGAGACTGATGCCTTGGGGCAAAACTGAACCCAGAGCACTCCAATCTAGCCAGGCCACAGGGCAGAGAACTAGTTGAGGTGTTGACCCTGCCCACAGGGGTCTTTCCGAGATGGGATTTTCCAGCAGTCAAAACATTCACGATTAGTAAAGTATCAGACCATCAGTGCCTTGGTTCCCAACCAGGAGCTGCCTGAAGAGATCAGGGCTTTCACACAACATCTCTGCCTTTCTCCATGATGACCATCAGTTGCAGAATGAGCCTACCAAAGGCTGCAATAAGAAATTCATTAGGGAAAGTGGTTTGTACAAGTTTCTGTTTCCTCTTTGGTAAAATCAATAAGACATAGTTTTATAAACCCACTCCCACTTGTCAGACTGAAAAAGTTCAAGAGGGCAGAGCTGCTGTAGACAACTGCAGAATGCCAATGCCTCATCCCAGCACATCCCTTCCATGCTTCCCAAAAAGCACGCTGCCATTCTCATGTAAAACCACCTTGATTTTGATTTAACACCCCTCCTGCCTGTAAGTTCCTGAAGGTGGGAGTCCTCAGCTTTGTGTCAGTAAGCACTCCAAGGCTGCACACTGAACTACAAGGCTTATTTACTAATAGACAATTCAGCCAATTACAAAATGTTATTAAGCTTTTGTACTCAGGCAGAGCGAGGCAGCCGCCTGGTGAACATGGCAAACCAATATTTTTAATTAAAATAAGAAAAAAAGGAATGCACAAAGTGATTATTGGCCAACAAGAAAAATACAGCCCAGAGATTTCAAAGTGTAATTACCCTTTCTGAATGGTCAAAATGACTTGTTTGACTATAATTCTCTCTAATGCTGCTACAAAGTCATGGCCACCCCCCATCTATCCCATTCTTCCAGTGCTGCACCTGCCCAGGGGCTGCTCCAGTACCTGTGAAATCAGGCTCTGGTACATCCATATCTAGTTTCTGCTTTATTTTCTGGCTGGTTAGCTGGAGGATTCACAATTAGAAGATGGCTGAAGCCTCTACAGTTTCTTCTCTATGATTCCTTTCTGCCCCTGGCAGAGAGCAGCGTGCAACAGGGTATCATGGTCCAGCACGTGTCTGGGTGCTTATTCTGGATTTTACCAAAGAGTCACATTTAGGTGGTGATAAGAAAGAGAGCAAGGCTTAGAAATATGCTCTGCACTGAGTCCTGTGCCCTTGGAAGAGCCATTTCCAGCACATGTAACCCAGCCTGCCAAGAAATTGTGCCTTCTGCCAGGGAAATTTTACATTTGCAGAGAGTCCTCCAGAAACAGAGGAGCAGGAAGCAATGGTTAAAGAATGGGTCCTGGGATGGTCATGCAAGCACCACATCCTGAATTTTGCTGGATGGCAACTCAATTTTCCGCTATCCTGCCTCCCAGACAGGCTGGAGGCTGCTCATCCTCCCCCACAGCCCCGGGGAAGAGCAAAAGAGCGCCTGGGTCGGGAGGCGAGGAAGGAGAACTGCAAAGAGCTCATAAGGGAGAGCTGACCTGGTACCTTTTGCTCTTTCCTGGCTTGGTCCTCTGCCATTTGCTGGACCAAGCTGCATGCTCGAGAGATGGCAGGGTCAGGGAGATCAATGAATGATAAATAAATGCAGTATAAACAAATCAATCTGAGGAATAAAAGCATTCGACAGAGCCACTCTAATTAAAAATATAATAATCTAGATAGTGGACATCTATTTAAAATGGTGCAATTATGACTTTTAATCATCCAGGGTTAAATTAACAGCGGCAGTGAAGCGGTTGTGCAAATGTGTTCTCTGTAATGAACTGGTATTAGAAAGCCAGCTTGGTGATCTCTCCTTCTCTCAGGCTAATTCTTTCTCCTCTCGTTGTAAAATAACCTTTTGGTGTCATTTTCTTGTAGAGTCTTGAAGATGAAGACACAATATTGAAGCTAAATTAAATCCCCTTCACATATTTCTCTCCTCTCAAGCTGTAAAAATTGCTGGTATCAGTCATTCAGTCTCTAGTGCTGACGCAACCACACTTGAGGAAAACATCTGGGGGCCCCAAGAGTCATTATAGGGAAAATAAAATCCTATATTACAATCAGTCAGCAATTAAAAGGCAGGATGCAGGAGGGTCAATCCTGCAAGATGCTGAGCAGGCTTGGTGGGGAAATCAAATGGTAGACTTGTGATGTTCTGGGGCTCTTTTCCTCTTCACTGGGGTCGATTGAGAGGAGGGTACAAAGTTTCTACACCTGCTCCTGTCCGGCACAAATGGTCTTGGAAGCAGCTCATGTTAATTTGAGTCTGTGCTGATCCAGAGGTCATGAGTTTAGTGCCTACTCACTGCCAGATAGCCCCATTTGCAGAGCTGCTGGTCCAGTCTTGCCTTGGGTTGACAGGTCCCAATGAACGGACATGGTGTGGCTGAAGGCAATGCTCAGCTTGACATGTTGAGCCTTCGTGGTTAAAATGGACTTGACACAGCCACAGGCTAATCAATGACACAAAAGCTCCCCGCACCTGACATGGTTGGGAATTGGTCTTTTCTCCCTGGTAGGTAGTGATAGAACAAGGGTTAATGGCCTCAAGTTGTGCCAGGGGAGGTTTGGGTTGGATATTAGGAGGAATTTCTTTACTGAAAGGGTTGTCAAGCACTGGAAGGGGCTGCCCAAGGAGGTGGTGGAGTCACCATCCCTGGAGGTGTTTAAAAGACGAGGATATGTCGTGCTTAGGGACATGGTCTAGGGGCGGACTTAGAGCTGGTTCAATGGCTGAACTCAATGATCTTAAATGTCTTTTCCAACCAAAACTATTCTATGACTCTACGGTCCTGACTTGACACAGTGATGGGTCTTATCTGCCTTGGGCAACTGTCACGGTCTTTCTCCCACATACATGTAAATGCATCTTTTCTGCAGAAGAGACCAGGGTCTACCAGCCAAGAAGTGCTCAACGCAGGGATGGAATTAAGCAGAGTCACAGCAGGGCAGAAACAGCCCCAAAAGCTCCTGTCAATGTCCCCAACACGTCTATCCCACAGCTCACAGTGCAGTGCTGATCCTGCTCGCAGCAATACGATGCTCCACATCTCAGCCAAATTTGCTTAAAGGCTGCAAGGAAAGGGACAAGAAGAAAGAAACACTGGGGAAAAAGTAATTTTGGAAGCATGGAAAGATTTCTGTGTGGGAAATGAACACCACACAGGTTCATGCCTGCACACGTACTTCTGCGTGCGTAAGTCACAGCTCCCTCTGGAGCTGCTCACCCACTCCTGTTCTTTTGGCCATGGTCACCAAACACAATTACCTTCCTGCACCCATAGTCCTGAGCGCACAATTAACATCAGGAGCCCTTTGGAAAGAAAATTGCATCTCTTCTCATTAGCACCAAACCCTCCTCTCTTTCCTGTTTACCCAAAGGGTGTTCAAACACACAGCCAGAGAGCTAACGAGAGTCACGCAGTCCTCGCTGCCGCAACTGGCAATGGAATTACTGGCCTGCACATTAAGATTAATAAATATTAACTTTACTTCTGTTTTTACTGTCCACCTAAGATGGAAACAATGAGCTTTACTACTTAATCAAATTAGAGCTATAAAATTATTTCCCTTTTAGAAGGTTCGTTTCTGTTTTGCTGGCAATTAATGTTGATGATTTGAGTCCCATCTTTAAAACGTTTTGATATATGGAAAAAGGCAGAAGTGCCACAGTGCATTAATGGAGTCATAATACACATCAGGTAATAAAGCATGAAAAGCCTGTTTACTCTGACTACTCTAATTATTTGAGAGCTTTTTTAAAAAAATAAACCCAATATGTGAAAACTTTCACTTAATTTGAATTAATTTTTTTTAATGAACAGGAAAAGAAACAAACCAAACCAAACCAAAAATGCCTTTTGAAAGTGTTGCTTTGAAAATCAGCAGCCAGGCCAGGTCCCAGGCAAACACCAAGGAACAAATTTTCCCTTTTGTTTT